TTCTGGGAATCTTGCAGGTTATTCAAGGCTGGGAGGAAAATAAACCTTGGCTTCCAAAAGAAAGAATTGATGAGGTTCTTCTTCATGTTTAAACTAACTCTACCCTTCCTGATATTATCTTGAGTACGGAAAAACGTGTCACAGGATGCTTATGCTGAGAATTTTTTCAATTTTCTTCTTTTCAGCTCTTGGGTGATAAAGACAAGTTCAAAACTTGGTTGAAAGAGAAGGAGACTGAGCAGACGAAGTAAGATATATATTCTACATGTGATTTATTTTTGTGAGTAGTTGCATTTTGCTAGTAACTGAGTTCCTTTGAGGCTTGATGTTTCTGCTCCTATAATTAGTTGTATGACCCCAAGTGAAGGGAATAGGTTCAAGAATATAGTTCAATTTGGAAGCTTTTCTTTTAATAAGAGTTTTCTAAGCTAAGAGCCTAAGATGGATAGCAGGATTTACTCTCTTAAATGTCCTTCCTGCCCAAAACCTGTGTTCCTTGGCCCAACTGAGGGCTTGTTTTCTTTTTTGATCTATTCCAAGGTCTCTTATGTGCTACTGAAGTACTGATTTTCGATGTGACCCTTAAATTTTTTCACTTATATGTTAACAATCTTTTCAGGACTTCCGCATTCAGCACTCCAGCATTCACATCTGAAGAAGTATGCAGGAAGCATTTGGACTTGCAAGCTAAGGTATAGTTTCAAAGCTCGTATATTATTGATAGTAAACAGAAAAGGTTTTGCCAGTCCAGAGTGGAAATGTCAAAAATACCCTTGATACCCTTTCAATGGGCCACGTAAGCTTGTTTAAACTTTTGAAGGGCAACCTCTCGCAAACCAAAATAACGAGGCCCAATAAAAGTGAAAGTGTTGGCTGGAGAGTGCAGGAGGCCAGTGCCCCTAGCACTGCTCTTTCTGTTGATTTCAGCCTGAACTGGCGTATGCGCTGAAAAACAAGCATTCTCGTTCATGTTTTGTGAGTACTTATTTTCACATATTCTTGTTGTTTGTTTAGGTTGACAGCATTAATAAAATTCCAAAGCCAAAGCCTAAAGTTGAGAAGCCTGTAAAAAATGAAACTGCCAGCAGTGGGGAGGACATTAAAGATTCCAACTCAACCTCTCAGAATACATCACAAGGTGACAAACCAGCTACTGAGTCAGATGCCCCACCTGATGACAAGGTTGAAGCAGAAGGCAAGAACCATGACGAATTACAGTCAAGTTGGTATGAGTTGCAGGTTTCATAACCTAATTATTGCCCTTTTTAAGTTGGAAAAACTTGCGCAGGCAAAATGGTAGGAAAGAAGGGGAAATGTATTCCGCCTGAGGTTTTACTTAGATGAATGGGAATAGTATTAGCTTAACCAGGCTTTAATTTGTCATTAATACTAACATAGTTGAAGGGGCCTTTCTGGGTAATCTAGTTTGTCCTGGAAATTTTTCAGCATTCTGATGAGGATTTTCGCTATATAAGAAACATTTATACTCATAAACCCGAGGTATAGCTCTGTCTCAGATTAACTCTATCATTATGTGTTTTCAGAAGAAAATTGTGAGTGTGATTATAGTTTATTTTCTTAACTACAGCTTCTTTAGAGAGTTTCCAGTTTCCAATCTTTCATTTTAAACTGTTGAACAATTCTATTTGCTCATTTTGAAGAAGCAATGCTAAACCTAAGTTCTCTTTTTGTTTCCTCAAAAATCCGAAAGCAGCACCACATGTGATAAATCTGAATGGGGGTGTGCTATTTACTTTTCTCTAAAGTAGGAAAAGAGGATTTTTCTAATGACCCTCTCCTTTCTTATAGTCAACTTCCCTACAAATGGTTGAAAGAACATTGGTTTAAAGTTGCAATTTGTGCCTCAGATAATTCACAAGAGGAAGGGATGCTTTTTCGCAAAATGAGTTACTAAATTTGTTGTGGACAATTTCAAAGATTTAAACACTACTATAAATTAAAGTTAATAGATCTTACATGATCTAAATGAGGTGCAAATCAAAATAAACTTGCAAACAAAAGATGTATTCAAATTAAATTAAACATATTCATTGTCAGATTAAACTACAATCTACAAATAGAGCTAGAAATTAAACTATTGTAGAACTAGAAATTTAATCTTAAATAATCACGAAACTAATATGAATAGAAATTAAACTAACATGTCAAAAACCAAGAAGAAATGTGAATGCCATATAAATAATCATTTTGGAAAACACTACTTATTATAGACCTTAATTGAATATTAGTAAGAAAAGAAACAATACCTCATAGAAATTGCAAAAGCAATTACACGAACTAATTTGGCTATGTGAATGATGAAAACAACTTAAATTTATAAGCCAAAGTGAGCAATTGTTAACAAGATTTAAGATTGTACAAGCTAGTTTTGGGTTGTGTGTAGGGTTAGTTGTGTGTTGAATGATAAAAAAAATTCACTTTTGTTTATTTATTTCCTCTAAGCCTGAAACTCCCCACTACTTGGTTGTTGCACAACACGGATGGTTTCCTAAAGAAAATGGACACCTCACTAGTGGATTAGGTTAGAATTCCATCCAAATATCGTCACTTATCCTTGTTATTTGCCAACTCCTTAAATTTAGCAGTTATAGGTCCACTTCAATTCAAATAAGCAATTAAACAGATAATCTTCATCTATTCGGACTCCACCTTCCATGTTGCAAGTGATCTATTAAAAGTCCCAAAATAGTAGATCTAATGTGGCATCATCCCATCCATCCATTCAAACATAAATGACACATGGCATAATCTTAAATTTTGCCAATTTATTGTGTAAACACTTTCTAAGAGGGTAACGTAAGCATTGATCCTTGTTCTTATTCCCCAACAAGATCTATGGATAACAAAATTCTCACGACAATTACAGAATCTTGAATTCACTAAACAAAGCAAATTATATTTTTTTGACTAAACATAAGCATAAAACTCTCTATAGGTTTTTATACATCCTCAAACTAGAAATCAATCAAGTTATATTAGATTAACTTCACCCCCGTTTTTTCTTATAGGAAATAGAGATTGTATTAAAATAAATAAAATTGAGATTATATATGAATCCCTCTATCATGACATATATAGCCAAAGTAAAAGCACATCCCATAACACTAGATAAAGACCTAAACTATATTCATGAGGAATATAGACAGTTAAGTATGTTAAGCCATTTGCACTTAAAGATTATATCAGCAATCCTTATAGGGGTATAAATAAAGCTACAAACATAGAAAGAAAGTCCTTGTGAGCATCCTTAGCTACCAAACATTCTCACTTCTATGCCAACTTCTTAGGGAGAGCAGACATTTAGGCTATCAACAGTTCCCACCGACTAATAGGCCTACCATCAAGTTGCAATGACCGTATGACTTAGAATCCAATCATAAGAGAAGTAGCAAAAAGAGAATAAGAGGGAGGCTTCACATGAGAAGAGAAAACCCAAAAGCATGGGTTTGTCACACAGTTAAGGATTTTTTTCCTACCATGTGTAAGAGAAAGTAAGAGGAGGCCTACCATGTACAAGACAAAGTAAGAGGAGGAAAGCGGCCAAACTTTAGATTAGCTTTACCTAAGCTCGAGTTTTACTTGATTTATATTTTGTAGACCCAAGTTGAATTCAAACTTGTTACTAGTGGCCCAACACTTTGTTATGGGTTAAAGCCCAAAGTTGAACCCAAGTACAAAATAGTTTTGGAAAAGAGGACCACACGTTTGCTAACAAGTGGACCAATAGTCATAAATTGGGTTACAAATACCCCCACAACTCCCGTCTTAAAAGTAATTACCACCTCGCAAGTTCTCCATCTATATTCTCTAGTTGAGGGTTTTTCTAATTTAAAACGATCCACTTGAATCCACTTGAAGATACTCTTATACTTGATGGGAAAATACAGAACCTATACGGTTTGCAGTGGCAGAATGCTAAAAATGAAAAGCAATTTAATAGTGGTACAGTAGATGTTGATTTTTTTTTTTTTTTTGAACATTGGAGAATTTTGGGGGAGGGGGGATTAGAACCAAGGTCATAGCCTTGGAATATACACACCCTATCCACTGCATCAAGTGCTGCGGGTGTGTGGTACAGTAGATGTTGATAAATTAATTGATTTTGTGAAAATAAAGCCGTACTAGTGGATAAAGGACACACAAAAGGTAAGATTTTTTTATTTTTTATTTTTATATATCAGACTGGATGATACTTTAAAGGGCACGTGTTAGCAAATGAAGTAATTTGTCATGAGTAATTAAAATCTGGTTAAGAATTAATAATTAAATTAAATAATTAATAATTTTTTAATTTTATATATGAATTTAAGTATCTTTTATATTTATTTAATGGAGTTTTATCATGTTAAAAAACGTAAATCAATTCTTAAAAATTAAATTATACTCTCAATTTATATTTTAAAGATCAAAAGTTAAAAAACTCATTGTATTAATATTATTGCTTTATATGTCTATAAATGTCATTAAACATCAGCTTATGTTCATCGAAATTGATCTTCATTTCATCCCAGACAAGGTGGCTTCTTGCTTTCTTTCTTTGCTGCATGTGAATTGGCAAAAGCATTTCTAATTTCCACTTTCGACCCTCAAGAAGCAAATTGTGCGTCCCTCGTCATTCCGTACAATTTGACGGAAATGATGAGTATATTGGCATATGAAAACGGTTAGAAGTTGCGTCCCTCGTCTTTTATACAGAGAATGCCTATGGCTTAATGGCTACCACACTGGTTAGATGTTTCTCACGTTAAGTTTTAAGGGTGTAGGATTCAACTTTCATTCTAATATTCAAAAAAATTATTTATATAAAATTTTAATTATTCATATATTTATTATAAATTATTAAGGTTTATTTTTTTATTTTATATTTTAAGAATAATTATTTTTAAAATATTATAATAACTTTTAATAATTTATAATAAAAATAAATTATTAAAATTTTACGTAACTAATATATATAATTTTTATATAAATTAAAATTAATCTTAATTTATATTGAAATATATTTTTTTGAACATATTTAAATATTATAGTTAGTGTATTGTTAGATGCAAATACTATAGTTCTGTTACATGCAAAATGTTGTAGGTATGCTGGTAACTGGTCATCAATAATTGAATGGGGCGCTACTGCTTTTTAACATTACAAGAGAAAAGAGTTTTAGTGGCAAAAATTGATGATAAATTTTGAAATTATTACTATAATTTATTATAATTGTAATAAATTTTAAAAATTAGTTGCAAATGCACATATGCTTAAGGATGATAAAAAAATTTCATCACTAAAAAGATATTTTATTGCTACCTTACAATGACAAAGAGAATATAAGTTTGAAATGAAAAAATTCGCCATTATAATTCATCACAATTATAACAAATTATAAATATTAGTTATAAATAATTATATGTTCAATAATAACAAAAAAATTCATCACCAAAATATATTTTATCACTTAAAAATCATCACAGAAATAATATAAGCTTCTAAAAATGAAAATTATCACTAGAACTTATCACAATTATAACATATTTTAAGTATTGGTCACAAATACTTACATGTTCAATTATAATAAAATAAATCATCTCTAAAAAATAGTCACAGATAAAATATAAACTTTTGATTATAAAAATTATTACTGTAACTCATTACAATTGTATTAGATTTTAAATATTAGTAATAGATTTCACCCATATTATATTTTAATAATAATTTTTTAAAATGTTCATTTTTAGTAGATAATTATTTTTTGGAGAAAATACTTTATTGCATAATAACTCAAGTTAAAATATTTTAAGAGTTTAAGAGCAAGAATAGTTAAAATCCTACGCAAAAGTTAAATAAGTTAAAAGTTTTGGGATTAAAGTATTTATACAGTAAAAAATTAATGACCCTGTTTACTAGTTTACGAGTAAAGAAATACCTAAAACTCTACACTTGTTAGGTGTCGCCACTACAAAGATAGTGTCGACACCTTACGTTACGAATTTGCAGCACCACCTACATTTTTTATTTGGTATAGCATATATCAAATATTAATATTTTTTTATAAATAAAATATTACTCCAATTTAATTGTAATGAGATAATGCTAATTTTTGATATTTAAATTATTAAATTTAACAAAATTTTGCAAATAAAATAAAATAGGTGAGAGGTTTTTTTGATAATATCAATCGTAAAATTATTAAATTTAAGTAAATCACCTTTAATAGAATAGTGGGGTTTTTAGTAAAAGAATATTTAGAATTTAAATTTATTTTGATTTAAAAAAGATAATATCAATTTTATATATTAAAATAATTAAATTCAATAAAATTTATCTACACAATATATATTTTATAATATCAATTTACTCTTTTATATATTTAATTTATCATTTTCTTACTAGATAATTATAATTTTTAAACAAATTTCATAGGTAACTAATACAAAATATCTATTTTAGTTTAACATTTTTATTACGTCTAAATTTTTCTAAATTTAAAAATATATATAATACTAAATTAAAAGTCTTAATATCAATTACTTAAAATCTAAGAAATTAGTAACAGGGTTAAATACCATAAAAAAGATATGAGAATGTTACTCTATTTTTAGTTTAGTCTTATTTAATTTACATATGTGCCTAACTGTCAATAATCTTTACTTTTCTCTTTCAAATCTTTTATTACAATTTTTCTTTAGCATGCCTTTAATTTATCATCAATTTTATTTTTAAGGTCTTTCTCGAGTTAGATTTCAAACATAGTGTAAAACCTTTTTGAAATTTGTGGGGTTGATAAAACAATGGCTAGAAGGCTTCAATTGCACTTTGTCATGTCCACCACCATGTATTTATTAAATTGCCTAAGTGGAGTTGAGTTGAATTTTTTTCTTTATCAATAAACTTATTTTCTTATTTGTCTCTATTGAAGTGTTTTGGCATATTTTCCGGATTGAGACATTTTTTTGGGTAGAAGAGAAGAGTTACATTTTTAGCTCTAATATAGAGGACTGCACTTGGTCTTCCGATTTAATCACATTAGTCAATTTGATAAGTGCATCTTTCAATTCTCCACGCCTCATCTCAAACCTGTTCAAAATATATAAAGAGAGAGAGAGGACTAATACAGTAATACTTTGTTACTTGTCATGAGTACTTGACATCCTTTTGAATTTTGTAAATTTCAACATACAAGATGGAGGACAAGGTGACACTTGCGAATAATTGCATTTGCGTGAGTTAGCTAAGAAGATAGTTTTGGTAAAAAATGATAAACTCAGAAAACATAAAAATTCCTTACAAATAAACAATATTAATGTACTTTATTTTTTTTTTAACATAGTTTGCAAGAGATGAGTTTCGAATTTTATCGGGGGGAAATGCACTGATGACTAATACCGTTAAACCTCAAGGGTCAGGTGCTATTAATGTATTTTATTTACTAATAATATTTAAGTAAATCACATCAAAAACAAAAATAATGTAAAAGTTTCAGCTAATTTATAATTTTTTTTTATTTGTATGTTATCTTTTTATATTAGTTAATTATATAATTTGATTAAAGAGTAAATTTAAAAATAATGATTACCAATTAATTA